AGGGACAGGGGACCCACAAATGATCCTTAATACAAATATGGCCTGTAAAAACGTGCGGCAGGAGTGTAGACGAGGTGGGCTCGATCCTGCTTCGGCCAAAAGCTGTTTAAGGGCAATTATAGACTTAGTATCTTTGCAAGGCCTTGAAGGATGCCCGACAGCTTTCCAGGTAGACAAAGGGGAGACAGGCACCCCACGCACAAGGGACATCAGGAGACAAAGCTCAGCAGCTGGCAAGTCCGTGGCTTATGCAGGAAAAGGACCACAAGTCCACTGTCAGCAGAGACTGGACACACTGAGTGGTATTTTGGAGTTGGGGACATATAGAGGATGAGGCTTAGAAAAAAAAAAGTGAGTTTCAAGTTAAAAATAGCAATATAGAAGTTTGTAGCATGATCTGAAGGCTGTGGGTTTTAGGTTTTGTTTTTGTTTCTAAGCCGGGGAGCGCTCTTTTCAAATTAAGAGTGGCCCATTTCTAAAACAAACACCACAACAAAACCGATCAGAGCTTCAGAGCTGCTCTGGTAAAAGTAGGGGTAGAGATCCAGAACCCTACCTGCCGGGAGCACACAAGCCCACAAGAGAGGCATGCTTGCTTAGGTGGCCGGAGACAGAGTCACAATCCACAGCTGTGGCAGAGGAGAAAGGCAGGGAGTTTTGGAATGACAGGACCAGGAGGAGGTTAGAAGGCAGAAAGCTAAGCCCTGGCAGCTGGTGGGGGAGGAGGGGGTAGGGTAGGGAGTGTGTGGGGGGAGGGCAGGGATGCCAGGAGGAGGGAAGAGCTTAGGAGCAGGCAGGACCAGTCTACCTGGGGTCAGAGAGCGCGGTGCCTAGGGAGCAGGCACAGGGAGAGGAGGGGATGGGTTGGGCTTGGAGCAGGTTTTCCAACAGGGGATCAAACCTCTGAAGCACAGAGCCAGACGGAGTAGTGGACTCAAGAGAGAAGAGGATTTGGTCAAAGGAAATTCCATCTCTGAAAAACGTGTTGGATGGTGTCACTGCTAGCTGGCACGTGGTAGACAGGGTGTCCAGAGCTCAGGAGAGCGGTCAGGCTAAGGATGCAGGCTTACAAATGATACTTGGAGTAAGATGAACCACCATGGGAGAAGGGGAAGTCACTAGGAATAGAATTCCACAGCCCCCAACTCTTCAGTGTGGGGTGACTTTGTGCCACGGCCTGGTCCAGGAGGTGAGGGCAGAATGATGCAGAAAGAACCCTGTGAAGTGGACGTTCCAGTGAGAGAAGACGGACGGACGCAGAATCCTATGGAGAAAATAAGTGGGGTCAGGGGCACGGGGAGTGTGTGTCAGGATGTGCGTGCCATTTCTGTCTCAGTGGTTAGGGCAGGCCTTGTGAGAAGATGACATCTGGGCAGAGACCAGAAGGGGAAGAAAGCACAGTCCTAGCAGATGACTGAAGGAAGAGCATTCCCGGCAGGAGGGACTGTTGGTGGTCAAGGCCCATGCTTGGGATGACAGAGAAAGAGCTAGAAGGGCAGAAGGGAGAGGGGGAGGGGGAACAGGCATGGGGGGTGGGGGAGCAAGGCACATGGGGCGGGGACAGGAAATGCTGCAGAGTCTCACAGGCAGTTGTAAGTACTTTGGCTTTTGTTCTGAGTGAAAAGGAGAGCAGAGAAGTGACAGGGCTTAACTTGGGTATTACTTCAGCTGCTGTGATGGGAAGGGACCGTAGGTGGCAAGGGGAGAAGCAGGGAGAGCACACTCCCGCAGTGGTCCAGGTGGGAGAGGCCGTGCGGCTCAGGTCCAGGATGCAGGCGGTGAGACTGCACTGGATTTTGGACACACTTGCATGGTAGAATCAACAGCCTCTGTGCAGGGTGGGTGCCAGAGCGGGAGAAGGAATGGGGAAGGAGAGGAAGGGGAGTGTCACAGAGGTCACCACGATCTGGAGGCTGAGCAACCAGAAGGAAGGAGTGACTGTGAACTGCTATGATCTGAGATGGGACAGATGGAAGAAGGCAAATTTGGGAGAGAAGCTGAAGAGGTGGTTTGACAGGTGTTGAGTTTGGATGTGTATTAGACATCCATATGGACACAGAGAGGAGGAGACGCATGCACAAGTATAAAAATTGTGGGAAATCACCAGCGCACCAAGGGAACTGAACGCCTTGTAACTGAACGCTGTCGCTGGTGTGGCTGGGGACCAGAGGCCTGAGGACTGAGTGCTGCGGATAAAACTGAGGAAAGGGGGTCACCACTCAGAGACATGCAACCACGAGCAGCTTCCAAGACTGAGACAGGAACAGGTTTTCGATATCCAGAAAAGGGGAGGAAAACTCTTCATTCTATATCCCCAATCAAAATCATACCCCAAATGCTTGCATTCTAAGCCATACAGTCCAAATAATACACACACACACACACACACAAACATATAAGGGCTTACTGGAATTTGCTATCGAAAATGCAAGTAACTCGACTTAAGGGGCTCTCCGTTTGATCCAGCGAGGGAATGAGTTCAGGTTGCTGGCTTCCTACCACTAAGTTCAGACAAGCTGCTCCAGGGACTGTTGGGGGTGGCGGTAATGTGCGAGCCAGGTAACAATGTTACTTATCAATATTAATTAAGCACTTATTCTATGCTGGGCACCCATGTTGGTGTTTTATATTCATCCATTAATCCTCAGAACAACCCCTGGGAGAGAGAACCTATGAATATCCTCATTTTACAGACAATGAAGCTGAGGCTTAGTGGGGGTAGATCACTTGTCTCTGGTCACAAAGTAGACTGAAAGGGAGGACAGGACAGACGTAGGTGCCAAAGGAGAGTTTTAGGGATGAGAAGGCTTCTGGATGCTGTGGAACTCAAAACTGATGCCCTTGGTGGCAGACACCAGCTATGCTGGGGGGGGAGGGGTTGGGGTGGGAGACTTCCTTGGAGGGCTCTCCTGAGAGCCTTATTACTCTCTCTAGAATCTTGTTTCCCTAGGGGGAAAAAGTTATAAACAGAACTTCTGGAACACAATGTGTTCATAACCCCAAGGGAACGGGGCCAGCTGACATAAATGTAATGGACTCCCAGAGAAGTGGAAACAGCATTCAGTAAAAGCTATGGGACGACTGATCAGGCAAAATGAATTCAAATGAGCAATGCTGGAAGTAATTATAATTTCTAGATTAATGTAATTATTTCTATTCCAAATGTGGACAATGTGGCAATAACATTTCGTTGGATTGCTGGCTTTCAGAGAACAAAAATACCCAAATGCATACGAGGAAAGCTGGAGTTTGTGTCTTCATTGAAGTTACTGTATTCTTATCCTGAAAGATACCAGATATTCTTAAAAAGTTGTGTGTTGTTATGTGGCATTAAAATCTTGGACCATTCTTAAAATGATGTGCCTTCAGGTAGACTAATTTTTGAGCCTTTAAAAAGAAACTCTCTTGATACTTGTTTCCACTAGGCAACAATCTCCACATGTTAGAACATTAGACCAGAGGCTCCAGGTTTAAGGCCTTGAAAACAGATATTAGGTAGCAACAATAGTTACAGCACACCTTTGAAAACAAAGACACATGATTTCATTCTGCTCATGTTAGCCAAAACCACTCCTACTATGACAGTAAAATGCTTTCTTAACATACCATAATGAAAGTGAAAATGTTTCAGACGAGACTCTTTGTATCTACCCCACCCCCAACTTCTTCGGGTCCCCGGAAGAGACCGCCGCTCCAAGTGTCAGTTCTTCTAGATTCTTATAGATGGGTGCTAATTCCAACAAGAAGAAAGGAATGAACTTATCTTCCTTAAAAGGATGATTATCACTTTTAAAAAATCTTGCAACTTTATGTGAGGCTTTTAAAGACCAGATTTGGGTCTATTAAGTAAATTTTGTAGAAAACAGTCATATACCTTTCTTCCAAACATTTAACCACAGCTGCAGTGTCATCAAAATTTCCATAAGCTTTTGGGACAACTTGAGGTGTCCTCTTTGCGCACCCACAGGTAATGGATACTAAGAAGGACTTTGCATTCATGCACTTATTCATTTATCAAAATTTTCTTGTGCTCCTACTATGTGCCAGGCACAGTTCTAGGTGCTGGGATATAGCAAATGTCAAAAACTGAGCCCCTGATCATTGACTTTCAACCAAGGGGAAAGTACTGAGGGACTTTCTGAAAAGTCCTGAGACAGGACAGTCCTGTCCCTGAGACAGACTGAAAATAAAGAGATTCATACATAATACTATGTGGCAGCATTAGGCATAACAGGAAAACAAGACAGAGCAGGGGAATACAGCATGAATGCAAGATGGGGGTGTGCTAATTTAGATACAGCCCTCAGGGAGGCGTTTCTGAGGAGATGGCACCTGAGCTGTCCCCTGAGAAAGCTATAATCGTCCCCACTTTACTGACAAAGTGAGGTATCGCTCACCAGTGAATTCCCAGCGTCTAGAAGGCATGTGGCTGCACAGTAAATTGTCAAGAAAACACCCGCCCAGTGTTTGAGAAAGAATGCCAAGAGGTGTCCGTGGCAGTTTGGGGGGGGGCGCGGAGTGGAGGCCCCCGCTGGGCCGTAATCCAGCCGCCCCAGCACACTTCCCAGGGGGCCGGCCCACTTCTCCGAGCGCTGTCACAGCGGAGGTCGGGTCCCGAGCTCCCCAGGAGCCCCGCGGGGCCGCCAGGACAGCAGCGCTCTCCCCACTCTCCGGCGAGGACCCGACGACCCCCGGCTGGCCCGTCTCCCAGCGCCGGGCCAGCACGGCCGCCCGCGGGCGCGCTTCCTTTGAGGGAAATAAAGGGGGAAAGTGCTGCCGAAACTTTCGGGCTGCGCCTGTGCCCTCCCGGCCCGAGGCGAGGCCGCCAAACGCTCGCTCGCCCCGGCCCGGCCCCGGGCTCCCGAGCCGGCTCTGCGCGAGTCCTGCGCGCGCGGGCGGCCCCGGGCGGCGCCGAGACAAAGCGGCGGCGCTGGCCGGGCGGGCGCTCGGCGGCGGCGGCGGGGCCGGGGCCGGACGCGGCGGGCCCCGCGCCCCCTCACCTGTCGAGCCAGAAGGTCCAGGGCGAGTGCAGCGGGACCTCTCCCGGCTCGGGCCGCAGCGCCGACAGCTGCTGCAGGCCGAGCGGCGGCGCGGCGTTGGCGGCGTTGGCGGCGGGGGGCCCCGGCGGCTCCCGGGCCCGGGCGGGGGGCACGGCGGCCGGGGGCATCGCCATTTTCTCCGCCCCGCCTGCGAGGCCGGCGGACGCGCGGACCGCGGGGC